CCATTAACACAAGCCCAGTTACAAGATAAGTTAAACATAAGAATGGGCTAATAAGAACTCTTATCAGCCGAACATAACTCTAACATTCTAACAATTATCAAATATTAATTTACTATTCAGGAAATATGAATTAAAGAGGCAAAGCCTGGCCTGAACCCGACCTGTGAACAGGTCTACGTGCTAATAGCTGCAACATCTAGTGTTTATTGTTTTATGCTTATTTTGATCTAAATAGCTTCAGAAAGATAATCTAGAACCATTTTTATTTTTATTTTTTATACATGTTGAGTCTGACAACATTGTATTCCCTAGTCCCTACTATTTTCTAGATTGGTCTTTCTGCAGGGTCAAGCTTGTTAACAACATAGTTGTGCTATATTTTTGTCATCTTTTGATAGGTTTATAATTTCTTGTCTATCTAACCCAGGACTACGAAAGTTGAAATGGCTCCCAACCAGGCTCCACTACACAAATTAAAATGACAAAAAAAAAAAAAATCCTTTCATGCCAAATCAGCCCAACTCCCAAGAATTGTCATCCTGCCAACATAAAACTTCCTGGTTGGCTTCCTTCCGTCTATTCAAAGGAGTAGAATAATCCCCATCACTTTCTTTCTCCCTTTGAAACGATTTGCTCTAAAAGCGACAGAAACTTCCAAAAAAGTTGTGCAGCAAGGAAAAAGGCCAAGAATGCATTGCTTCTGAACTTTAAACAGCATAAAGCCGGCTTCCAAATGAACTTTAAAGCATGTTCAGAAATTAATAATATGTAAGAGTTTATCCCAAATTCAACAGTATGTTAATATATTCATTCCTTGCTTGGGTACCATACAAGAAGATGATGCATCATGTGTGTGACTCTATTCTTTGTTGAGCCAAATTTTTAGTGTACGTGTGCTTTAGTACTGTGTAACAATTGCTAACTTACCTTTCTCACTCGCATCTGTTTGCAAAGGTTGACTTTTTCCTTGGTTCTTGCAGAAAATTTACATGTATTTCAGAGGGCAGAAGTGAAAACCGATTCAATGATCAATATACCAATTGAATGTTCTACTGTAGCTGCTGCTTGTGGTGTCCCGACTTAACCCTTTTTTTATATATATATATATATATATTTTTTTTTACATTTTACCCGTTTTATTTGTGTTTGATGAATTATTGATGCACACCGAGTAACATTCTTAGGTAGGTGTGCTATATATATAATATATCTTCTAGGTTCCCATATATTGTAAGAACTCATCTCTCTTTTGTGCTTCTCTTTTACCATTCAGTGTACTCTAAGCTGTGTTCGTTTGATAGAAAATATGAGAGAATGAACTTCCCTCAAGTTTCTGTTTCACTCTTATTCTGTGATCGGGTGTTTTCCCATCTGTCTCCGCTGAAGACCAACTTGTGTTTGGATGATCTTATGTGGAGATTGTGATGATCTGGCTGGACTATTTTGAAGGTCAGGAGATATATGTGGATCTCAGATCCCTCCAGTTGATTGAAACATCGAAAGTTCACAGATCAATCAGCATGTGCATTGCACTACGTACCAAAACCCATGGAACGCTAACCTAGTACAGTGTGGTAAGGTCCCTTCACTAGTGTTTGGTTTGTCATCTTAGTTGGTCTTTATGCTGTTTAATCAATGGGCTCCGGCTTCCAAATGACTGGTGGTGGTAGGTTAGTTGCTGATAGGCTTATGGCTTAAATGGAGAAAGATGTTGATCGAAATTTCTTTGCCCACGCAAATTACGCTGTAGCTCGAAGGGGTCCCTAAATAGTGGAGCGTCGAGCGTGTGCATGGCGGTATGCTTGCAAAGTTGGTTGACGCAGTGTTGATTGTCTGGTTTGGTCTTTGGAGCATCCGGTCTCTGCCCAATAATCGTCAATTTCTAATTATTCAGTGTGTTCCACAATGTGATGAATCTATGATACCGGAAAGGTATGATGTCGAAAAAACTGATAACCAATCAAAGTGGTAATGATTATTTATCAAATTCACTTGGGACGGCGTTGATTGGTCAAACTCCTTCCGGCAACAAAGAGTTTTCTTTTTTTTTTTTTAACTTTTGAAAAGCAAAATCAAATTGGTTTTCTCAATCTGGTTTGAATATGGTGATTGGACTATTTGAATTGAGAACCAACATAAAAGATAAAACTATTCTTGAATTGCTTTACTCTTGCCGATTAACAGTAGCTGAAAATAGCCTGAGATGGTCACTTGGCATCCCTCTGAATGCCACTTGGATACTTAAATAGCATTTTGAGCTAAGGTGTGAGCAGCCATATTTATGTCACTTGGATACTTCAATATAATATAAAAAACGAAAGGATTTTACAATCAAATTATTTTTCAGGTTTATTAACAGAGACAGAGCTAAATATTTTACCAAAATATCCTTAATAATAAATAGGGCAAAATGCTGAAACATCCCCTAAAGTTTGATAATTGCAATCATCTCTCTTGAACTTTTTGATATAGTTGTAAGTAGTCCTCCTCAGTAAGAATCCTCTAATAAGAGGTATAAAAATGTCCAAAATACCCATGCAGTTACTTTTTCACTGAAAAAATTATTTTCCAAAATTTCTCTTCATATCAATCACTGCCTTAAGTCCTTTCACTCTCTTTTTTGAAATTGATTTATTTTCTGAATTTGCCCTTCATATTTTTTTTATCAATAACAGAAATTTTATAAAAAGAGAGATAGAAATTACAACCAGGAAGGAGGGGTAAAAAGACTTAACCCTCCCTAACAAACTGAAAAAACATATTACAATATAGCCCAAAAAATATTTGTTCTTCCCAACCCCTGTTTGGCCAAGGTATCAGCCATGGAGTTAGTGCACCTCTTGGCCCATTGAACCCTTACAGACATATTCTGAGTTAATTGAGTAATTTTCTTTCTTTCATTAGAGAACTTCCACAAACTGGACACTTCCTTCTGCAACCATTTAATAATCAACTGAGAATCTCCTTCCACCAACAACTTACTAATATTCAGTTGTTTAGCTCTTTTAAATCCTTCTAGAGCTGCCAAGATTTCAGCTCTCAATGAGTCCCCCCAGCCTATAGGTCTTGAGAACATAGCAATGATTCTACCTTCCTCATCCCTGAAGATACCGCCTATACCAGAATGGCCTGGATTTCCATCGTTGCTACTTTGAACTCTCTTTCTTTTGTTGTCCATAAAATTTGTATTGTTTTTTTTTTTTATGTAGAAATCAGCCTCAATATTAATTGCATGGGTATTTTAGACATTTTTGTGCCTCTTGTTAAAATATTTTAACATGGGGGATCTACTTGTAACTGCGTCAAAAAAGGGAAATGACTGTAATTACCAAACTTCAGGAGAGGTTTCAGCAATTTACCCTAATAAATATTAGTTTGATTCCAAAATATGTGTTTGCAATTGATAAAAGCAAGGTTTTTAAAACTGATCCGAACAATGAATCAGTTAGGGGTCCGGTTCCTGGGTCAAACAGTCCAACTGTTTGAACCGAATGGCCGACACTTTCTAACAAAAATTAAAAAATTAAAGAATTAAAAAATAAAAAAATGGTGTAAACCATTGAACGGTTCTCCGAATGCCCAAATCAGCGGTTTGCTGACCAAATCAACATTTTTTTGGAAAAAATCCGATTTTGGGAAAAAAGAGAACCGGTCACCCGATTTTTCTGATCCGACCGTCCGGTCCTTTCCAGTTTTGAAAACCATGAATAAAAGTACTCCTTTATAAACACTAAAAATGCAGTCTTGTCATTTTAGATTTGAAATTTATTTTATTTTTCTTGAATCGGTTTTCGACTTTTCATTCCCACAGCAGGAAAGAATCGTTCATTAATCCCTTAAAAAAATACAAATAGGATTTTTTTTTGTCTAAGGTATAATTGAACTTTTAAAGAGTTATAAATGTTATTTAATGTTTCTTTATTGAAAAAATATAGTAAATTGATGGCATGGCAATGGAAAAGTGGAATAAGTAATTAACTCTAAGGTCTAAACTATAAGGGGTGAATAAATTAATAGATAGACCGAAAGGCAAAATCGTAGTGCAGGTTTACGTAACTGCTATTCAAAGATATTATTATTATTATTATTATTTTCTTTTGTTACTTGTACAGTAGTACACATTACAAGTGAACACTATGTTTGGTTTGAAGGTTAATTGACACCTACAACCAACCAAAAGCCTTATCAAATTTAAGGATTTAGCCAGTAACGACGGAGGATGGTACAGGATGAACTACAAAGGCATGTACAAGGACCTATGCAACCAATTAAGAGTGAATACACAAACAATTGATGCAGATGGTGCTCGCTGTACATGCCTTTGTTCTTGTTCATCTGGATCCCACTGGGCACCAAAGCAATTTTTCAACGTGGAATCCCCACTTAAACCGAGCCTGGGCTAGGGCTACCCAAGCTCTTGCTCAGTCTGGTTTAGCCAAATAAGCTTGGAAAAAGAAAATCACTGGTTGAATGTTGTAGTACCCAATCGGGATTTGTTCCTCACATGGTTTTAAAAAATGATCCGGAAATGAAACCATTCTGACCATCAGTTTTCAGGTTGATGGTCTGATCGTCTGGTTCAAACAGATGGCCCGTTTTAATAAAAAATTTAAAATAAAAAATGGCAAAAAATTGTTGAATAGGTCCATGGATCGACGGTTTAATGCCCGGGTCAATGGATTGCTGAGTTTTTTAATGATTTTTGGTCAAAGACCGGGTTTGGGGTAAAACGAAACCGATTGCCTGAATGATTCCTAAACTGAATGGTCCGACCATCCAAATAAATGGTGGTTCGAAAACCATGGGTTCCTCATATATAAAGAATTTTCATATAACGCACCTCATACCCACCTCACAGCATATTCCACCATGTATCGAGAGCATCTCCATATAAATAACAATACACAAGTATGGGAGATGTTTCCCATGTATGGCTGGGACTGATTGTGAAGTTTGTGTGAAGATTGCTATGTGGGATTGCTGACATGTTTATTCCTAATTCGGTTTTATAGCCCCTTGTGCACGGTCTTGTTTGTAGCATATCCACCTCAACCTAGCCAACCTAATAGCTCTACATCTATATCTATATGCTATTATAAGATATACAAATGACCTGTTAATATTTCTGGAACTCTACAAAAATTTGTATTGCTTTCAAGATGAGGGCAGAAGTATCAATTTGATCAACTGTAGCATTCCCCTTGAAGCTATGGCATGGCATTTAGGGCTGCAAACGGATCGGATTGGATTCAGTAAAAGGTATATCCAGTCTGATTTGATAAGAAATCTGACCATTCTGAATTTAATAAAAATCTATCAAATTTTTAAAATTATGATTCAAATTTAAATTTGAATAATAATATATAATTGACTAATCGATTGGATTGGGGCATATTTGAATTCGATTCGTTAACTAAACATATCAACCTTTTATTTGATCCAATTTATTAAGACCAAGGGAGGTATCCGATCTGATTCTTACCATATTGCATTCGGATTCAAATCGGATCTGATCGACTTATTTGCAGCCCCAACGGCATTACTAATTTACATGGTTTGAAAAATAAATAAAAAAACATAAAAAATAAGAGAAGGATTAACCCATATGGTTTTGTTATTGTTAAAGTAAATACCATTCCATCTGAACCAATCTTGATTTAGCACCAGCTTAAATGGTAATTCTGGAAGTGTTTGAATCTCAATTTAAAAGAAGGATTTGTCCAATTGCTCCGGGCGTGCACGTTCCAGTGGCAGCACTATCTCATTGCCTTCAGCATCGGGACTATCATCAATGCAACATTGGGTCAGAAACAGGAGTTCAATCTAATATACACCTGGTATTAAATAGGTCCAACAACAGTTTACTTTGGAAAATCTGGATTACATCGAACAGTTGCCTTGTATCCATCATAGGGAACATTTATTTTCTTCATTTCTTGTGAAGGGTTCATATTATGTGCAGAACAACTGCATTAGTTAGACATTTTTATGACTTACTATTGTATCATCTGGAAGGTTTTCAGCACCTGAGAATCATGACTCAGTGACATGGCTAGAATCAGTGTGCAACTAACAGAAATTAGATATGGATCCTAAAATACAATACTGGGCTAGGACACTAATGGACAATTCCAGGTCTACTCAGTCCTGGAATTACAGAAACCATGAAAGAAGTTTTCTGGTCACTGTCTTTTGTGGCTCTGCAGACTCTGGCCGAGTGTGGTGGTCCCAGAAACTTAACCTTACACACAGAACAACCAGTGAACAACATGAGGAGAAGAACCCAGCCAAGAAAGGAAGGAATTGGACTGAATTCTATGGCCCCATAGCTCCCTCACTCCTCATCCTCTCCCATCTCATCTGCAACCAACCACCCTTCTGTTGCCATGTGTCATTCACATATCCAAACCGAAGGAAATCACCACCAAGCTTCTCCATGCGCCTTTGGTCATCACAAACATCATCTAATCAACAAACAAATAGTAAAATATACTTTTTGGGTTAAAAAGAAATAATAATTGAAAGGACAACTTTACTCGCAGCGCCCTAAGTTTACTCCAACCATGTCTCCTCTCTTGCCCTCTAATTTTGTCCAAAACCAGGGGCAGTCATGAACACATATAAAACAGCCATCAGCAATTCAGTATCCCATAATCAAAATTAATCTTTTTTTTCTTTTCCTCCAAAACACCTATCAATTCTCTCTCTCTCTCTCTCTCTCTCTCTCTCTAGTCTATATCTCTTCCATCCCCATTTCATGTGTCTTGATAGAAGCAGCTAAATTCACAGAACCGACCCCAGAACTTCTCCCCTCAGAAGATTCTAAGAGGCCTCTGTACAGAAACAATGGCTATGTGCACAGTCTACACAGCCCATTCTCTGAACTCAAGCTGTTCAATCTCCACACCAACAAAGACTCAGTTGGGTTTTCACCAAAAACAAGTATTCTTTTACAGCACCGTCAAGAAAACCAGCAGGAGGGGCAGCAGCAACTCGTCAGAGATCACATGCTCAGCAGAATCAAAGACAGTTGTGATTGGGTTAGCAGCAGACTCGGGATGTGGGAAGAGTACCTTCATGAGGAGATTGACAAGTGTGTTTGGTGGTGCAGCCGAGCCACCCAAGGGTGGAAACCCAGACTCAAATACCTTGATCAGTGACATGACTACTGTAATTTGCTTGGATGATTACCACTCACTTGACAGAACAGGAAGGAAAGAGAAGGGAGTCACTGCTCTTGACCCAAAAGCAAACAACTTTGATCTCATGTATGAGCAGGTCAAGGCCCTCAAGGAGGGAATTGCTGTTGAGAAGCCTATATACAACCATGTCACTGGTCTCTTAGATCCACCTGAGCTTATCAAGCCTCCCAAGATCCTGGTCATTGAAGGACTGCACCCAATGTGAGTTTCTAATATTCATGTGCAAGTTCTTTGTTTTCATCTCTCCTTTTTCTTTTCCGTCACAAATCAGTAGTTCTGGTTTTCTTCCTCTCCCTTCCCTGCTTCTGACGGATTATTTTTTCTCTCTAAAGCTGAATTATATTACAGTTCACTACTTTGTTTCCAAATTTTGGTCGGTGGCGGTTGCTCTTTGCTTTACTGTTCTCTCTCTTGCATTTTGTAAAGAGGGCTCTGAGTGGAAAGTTTGTTCAGTCCGTCAGCATTAGATACTACTTTTTTCTGAATTTTGTTACAGAGATTGAGATGCTTCTCAATCTTGGGTTTTCAGTCACCTTCAACCTCAGTCTATCGGAACCACACCAAGAAAAAATCTTCATCCAAATGGATAGGATGGTTGTTCTCAACTCTTAGCTTGGTGCCACGTGTCTAGTTGACCCATGGGTAATTAATGATTCTTAGCCGTCCGATTTGAGCCTTGTTTGACCAAGTAATTAGAATAACTGGTTCCACAAACTTTTTGTAGTTCTTTCGTCAACACAGACCCTTTAAATTAAGGTGAATTCGTAATTCCTAGCTGCTAGATGCTAGGGTTCGAGTATGTCTTTCTGTTTCCTCTATGATTTCTCTAAACCATGTAGCAGACTGATAGAACCTAGTTTTGGAACCGCCCCATGTTAGAACTGGTTTTGGAAAGCACCGAGTTGCCTGTAATTTAGGCATTTAGGTTCACTAAGCACTATAGGGTGGTTATTGGTTCACAGTAAGTACCACGACAGATCCAAAAGGAATTTTTCAATCACAGATACCTTTAGACATTCAAAAAAAAATTGTGAAACCAGTCCATTTATATCAGGAAGGATTAATTTAATCAGAATAATAGCAAACTTTTTGGACTGTAGCTGGCCCTAGTGGTGGATGATGGCCAAGCCTAGCATATTGCTATTTTATCATTCTTGACAATTTGTTGCCTTTTATGGCTTCTGTGGAGATATGGTTTCTTTATTATCCTTACTGCCAACACTATTTTATTAATGACAGTATTATAAGATAATGACTTCAATCAATCTTCAGTTCAACAAATATATTATAGCTTAATATCTGCAATAGTTTCTGTTATTGCCCTCTCTCTCTCTCTCTCTCTCGAATGTGTGTCCTGTTCTGGACCACTGAGGTGCTTTTTGTAGCCCATATAAAATTACTTGTAGCTCAATATAAATAGTCTTTGACTACAAATTCATGATGAATGTTTAATACCAATCCTTGTTTTAATATTTGAGCAGGCATCTAATTTCAGCTCATGAGCAACTCCAAAATCCAAATTGAATAGCTTCTTGTTTTTCACACCATTTTTACAAAGCTAATTTCTCAGTTGTCTTCTTGATTGCTAGGTTCGATCCTCGTGTAAGGGAACTCCTGGACTTCAGTATCTACTTGGATATCAGCAATGAGGTCAAGTTTGCATGGAAAATTCAGGTAACTGATGCAGCATCCCATTCTGAAGTGTTGGGCATATCGATTAGTACTCGTCCATTTTCTTTGCTCTGACCATATGGAGTTGCAGAGGGACATGGCAGAACGTGGGCACAGTCTTGAAAGTATTAAAGCTAGCATTGAAGCCCGAAAGCCGGATTTCGATGCATACATTGGTAAATTTTCATAACCATATCTTAACTCTTGGCTTGTTTCAGTTGTTTGATCGGTTCACTAGGAAATCAGGCTATTTAAGATTTACAATTTCTGTTCCTTTGCTCTTGAAACCTCTCATCTTCTCTCTACTGATGTTCAAGTCTGATGTTATGGTTTCATCATGCAGACCCACAGAAGCAATATGCAGATGCAGTGATTGAAGTCCTGCCCACCCAACTTATCCCTGATGATAATGAAGGGAAGGTTCTGAGGGTTCGGTTGATAATGAAAGAAGGGGTCAAGTTTTTCAGCCCAGTTTACCTATTTGATGAGGGCTCCACTATTTCCTGGATACCCTGTGGCAGGAAACTGACTTGCTCATATCCTGGCATCAAATTCTTCTATGGCCCGGAGACTTACTATGGCCATGAGGTATCTAATCCCAGTTTTCTCAAATTTAATTCTGTTAGTTGGCACCACTCAGTAGGCTCAGACTGGCCAATAAATACTATCTCATCTGCACAGATGGCTCTAGCTTTTAATACATACCCTTTCTTCTCTGGGTTTAAGAACATCAAACACTTTGAAACTTAGTTGACAACAATACAGACAAACATCTGGAAAGAAAACACCTGAGAGTCTCAATTTAAAAACAAGTTTCCAGTTCTTAGAGTTGAGTTCTGGTTGAACCAAAGAATTGCAGAATGTTCATGATCATTGTTTTTTTTTTTTTTTTTTCTTTTTCTTTCTTTTAGGTGTCTGTGTTGGAGATGGATGGGCAATTTGACAGATTAGATGAACTTATTTATGTGGAGAGCCATCTGAGCAACCTCTCTACAAAATTCTACGGTGAGGTTACACAGCAAATGTTGAAACATGCAGATTTCCCAGGTAGTAACAATGGGACAGGTCTCTTCCAAACCATAATTGGATTGAAGATAAGAGACCTTTTCGAGCAGATTGTCGCTAGCAAGGCCGCAGCTCCATTAGAAGCAACCAAAGCCTAATAAAATGGACTTAGTGCGGAGTCAGCGCAATCATCCTTCACGGTTTTTTTCTCTTCATCTTCATCGAGTGTAAGCCCCTCATTACATTGAGAACACTCTTTATGTATTTCTTGTTGTAACCTTGTGGAGATTTGTAACATAAAGGAGCAAAGGAGATATGAAATGCTGTTCATAAGATCAAACACATTTCATTTGGAAGCGTTGTTGGTACCTTTGGGTCAAATGTCTACAATGACTTCAATTCCATTTTTTTCCAACTTGGATGTACTCAATGCAATCTGGGTGAACACAATACCTCAAGTAGGATTTCTCTTTCTTTCCAAAACTTTCTATCGTCCTAGATTTCTGAAAGACCTCTAAAGAAAGATACAAATGGTGTTAATTTTAAAGGATAAAAGAAAAATATTTTCCCACTTAATGAATAAAGCTGGTAGAGGCATAGAGGTCCCTGTTTGCCATCCATTGGATACTATACTTATCCAGTCTAAACACATTCATGGATGGGCAGAAAAGAAGTTGCAATACAGAGAAAGTAGGGTATCCAACACCTCACCTACTACTTAAATATCGAGGGGCTTTCTGATAAATAGGCTGACCTGGATGGCTTAAATAACTAAAAAATAAAATATTTGAGGGCATAGTAATCAACCCAACTTGCTGAAGTGGCTGAATTGAATGATTCATTACTGTTTAATAACTAAATCTTCAAGGGTGTAGTAATCAACCAAGCAATCAACCAAGCTTTACCTTCAGCCATTAAAGAGTCCAAAGCCTGTTTAATAACTTATTCACTAAAAGACAAAGCGATAAGTCATTCAGCTCAACTTTCGCTGTTATCAACGGACCAAGTTGGTTAAAATTGTTGCTAATACAAGTGCTTTTTACATCAGACATCAATCAAGAACATTTTTGTGAGACAGGATCCGTGTCCAAATTATTTCAATCTACTAGGCCACACAATATTGCCCCACACTTTACAGCAGATATTTGTTGATTAATTTGTGGCCTTCCAAGAGTACAAATATTTAAAAACAGCCTTATAAGATATTAAGGTTGGGGAGGTTATAGGTTGTAACATGTACATTGAACAATCTCTTTATATCAGTCAGTGTAATGGCTATCAAAATCGAATCCTTGTCGGACTGGATTGAACCAAAATCAGGCTTAGCACTTAGCAGCAGCTTGTTATGAATTATGAAACCAAAGCCGGGTTACACAAAAACCAACGAAAAACAAGCAAACCAAACGAACTCACTGAAAAAAAAATGCTTGAAATGCCCATATCAATGTTCCATCTGATGATATTACCTTCTAAACCAGTGTCAGCGCCATAATCGCAAATGACAAAACTTTTAAGACAGGTTTGTACCAAACTGCAGATACATGAAGGTTAGGCAGCGTTTGGTTTTGTCATTTAGTGGTGCAAGGGCAACCAGAGGTCCATGGTGCAAGCATCTTTCTTCTTTAATCTTTATGCTCATCAAATTAGATGAAACCATCAGTTTAATTTTTAATGGTCCTTGGGCGTGAACATTCACTTTGGGAATCCATATCACGTATTCTTTTCTCCCTTTTTTTTAGTTTTAGATATGGTCCGGTTCACTATAAGAACGATCATTGAAAAATGCATTTTTCTAAAATTGGAAATACAATTCCCGGAAGGATAAAAGAAAATTTTTGAAAATTTACCCTACCATCCAGCATGATTCGGCCATCCATATGATGAATTTCCCCTTCCTTCATGGTTACGTATGGATGGTAGTGGATGGAGTAGCTTAAGTCATAACTTTCTAATCAAATGTATATAACTGGGACCATTTGAGTAACTGGTTTGGTGCTGGTCTTTTTTAATAATAGACACGTCTGATGGTGGGTCTAGATCCTCTTCGCTTATAGCCACAGCAGCTCAAGAGGGCATCTCAATTCCTTCCTTATTGGGTAATCATTCCTAGCCTGGTGGCCAATTTGGGCGGGCTTGGGTTAGGATTTTGTTAAAATTTGAATGGGCCCAGCCTAGGTGGTCAGGCTTGTTCAGCCTGTAACTTTATGGGCTGAGCCTAGATTTTGTATCTCAGCTGGTCTGGATATACACATACCCATGATCATCCCTACTACTCAGGCTGACCTAAGCTCAGGCCGAGTTGTGTTAGGTTAAGTTCAGGTTGGGCGTGGATTGATGAACTCCTGCTTCACCTTGGGTTGGGCTAGGCCTGAGTCTGAGGTTTGCATCTTAGGGCTGGGTTTAGATTCTCAATCAGATCCAACTCCCCTGAGTTCAACCCTTAGTTTCCTTTCCATCCTCAGTTCCTCAGTTCTTGCTTGCTTTCATTGTAACATAAAAGATAGCTATAATGAGAATACCCTCATCATCTATGCTATTATAAAGCGGATATTGCCTTGGTTTTGATACAGTTTATAACAGTAAATTTTATTATATAATGTAACTTATATCTTTACATTTGCAACATAGCATGTATCGTGTATGCTATTTATAATAAAGGCAATCGCACACTAAACAATACATAATTACATACATTAAAAATCAACACGATAGAATCATCCCATTTCATGTATTTGATTATAAAAGTCAGGTTCCAGCTGACAGTGATAAGTTGCCTTGAGAATTTTGAATATTTTATAAGTCACGTGGCGAAAATTACTCTCATGTTTTTAATTTAGAGAGCTGAGCTTTTGGGTGAAAGAAACCCAATCCCTCTTGGGAGAAATGGTGATTATCTCATTCAATTCAATGGAGAACATTGGGTGTCTCAAAGACCATGTGATGAATGCAGCCTCATTGTAGAACAGCGAAGTGACACTCACCATGTATTGTACCAAAATGCCAAATTCCAACCAATCCCATGATCTATTAACTAGAGATTACAATCATCTTCCATAGCAACCTGGACAACAAATCGATTAGGGATCCAGTTCTCAGGTTGAACAGTCCAACTGTTTGAATCAAATGGACAGCCCGTTTTGATAAAAAAATTAAAAAAATAAAAACCCGCCAAACCATTGAATAATTCGAATGGTTCGATTGCCCGAGTCAGCAATTTGCTGACCAAATCAATGGTTTTGGAGAAATAACGGTTCTGGGATAAAACAGACTCATTCCCGGTTTTTCCAGTCCGGTCCGATCCGATTTTGAAAATCATACTTCATAGAATTAAGACTGCCAATGCCCGGTAGTATTTCACCCTCCCGTCTCTCTTCAGGTCATGTTTGGTTTGCTAAACAATAAGAGAAAAAAAAAAAAAAAACAGAAAGTTGAGAAGTGATACTTTTGAAGTGACATTCATCACCTTTCTTACCTATTATATTTCGGTAAAACACCTTTTCATATTTGAAATTTATGGTACTTCATTCATCTATTCTGAAAAAGTGTTCTGGACTTTAATTGAATAATGGTAACTCAGAATTTAGGACTTGATCAATGGACGAGTGTACGTGGGTTTTCTTGATGTCATAACAATGTAACCTTTCCTTGATACCCAATGCACGGTGGTTCTTTAAAAAAAAAAAATGCACGGTGGATGTGCATGTGAGGCGCCCAACTGTGAGGAGCAGATCCGTTCTCTCATGATGCTCTACACACTCCTTTGTCCTTAGTTGCTGTTCTCATTTTTTTTAAGTATTAAATACTTAAACTACGCAATCAGGTTTTTCTAAAGAATTACTTCAAGTACTTTAAGTTTTCTGGCAAATGGACATCATAGTTAAAATATTGATTGGAAATATGAAATTTCAAACTTGTCCTCCAATTTTTTTTTCAAAATTTCATCATAAAACCCAATTGTTCTTCCTATCCAATCAAAAGGAAAACTTGATGACAGATGCCATAACCGAACTAGATTCAAGAAATGGAAAATTTGTTTAATGTCTGCATCCAGATGGCAACCAGAGACTGAAATTGAATCAAGAACTCAATCTCAAACCTCACCAAATCAGGTTTTGGGTAATGCCTAATACTTGCTATTGGTATACTATAAGGAGTGAGAAAATTTTTAACAAGACTAGATGAAAAAAGGGTTTGGGCTTGGAAAATGTGGACAGGTTATCAAATGATAACTTAAGCTTGCAGGTTCAAGGTTTAGGTTTAGGAGAAGAATATAGACTTAAATTTCATGGTTATACAGAATTTTCCAGAGAAAGAAATTTCAAGAAGTAGAGAATGAAAAAACAATTTGAAAGGAGTGCCCCCCCACCCAGGGCAAGAAACTAAAGTTCTACAAAGATGTAATTTCTAAGAGATATTTCTCCCTCCAAGGAAAAAAACAACGAGAAACTATAGTTTTGGATAAGTTGAAGTGAAAACATACTAAAGATCAATATACCAGCCTTCCTTGAATAAATTGATTACTATTCTCCAGGTTATTGATAGCATTCCAAGGGCTGAAATAAAAATAAAGACATTGAGACAAAAAAGAGATAAAGCCTAGAATCTCACTTAGGTTTCTTAAAGAACCCGTTCATTCATCTCTGACAAAAACATAAAACTAGAAGGCTCATTTTAGTCATGGTTTTACTGGTTAACTGGGCAGTTAGTCCATTGAAACCATGAAACATGTTATTTAAGCAGGACCCAAAAATGTCACAGGTCTAACTCTTAAAACAATGAAAAGAACAGTTTACAAGTAAACAAAGTGTAGGGAGTAGCACTGTTCACCATAATTACAAAGAATGCCACTGGATCCTAAAGAGAAAAAACACGCATGGCAAACTACCACCCCTCACCCCCAAACAAAACTGAAAACTACATGAAAAAGGGAAAAAAGTCAGAGAATCACTTCATTGAACATTTGAGTACTCTATCAAGGACCCCCAACTTCCCAAATCCCAAGGACCATTAAAGTTCAATATAAACACCCTTCTAAGCGCCCATGTTGATAGAAATCCCTATGGAGAAAATCAAATAACTCAGCCTTGGGGAATTAAAATGCTTTACAATCTCTGTTGCAATGAAAAATATAAGCTAGCATTGAGAAATCACAAAATTCTATGGATTTCATTGCACTCCATAATAAGAGTGAAGGGCTGAAAAATCAACAATATCCCATCCCCCAGCTTTTTTCCAAATCCAAAACTACAATTAAATACAACTATACAAGACTGTGCTTGTTTTCTGATCAGTAACACTAATAACACTTCTATTAATGTAGGAAAATACCCCTCATTGGACCACATTGTACTCTGGTTTATTTTCTTTTTTTATTTTATTTATATTTTTTCATTTACTATAAAAAATACCTTTCATTAGTAAAACTTGTTGTAAGACAGTGGATTTATATTAACCTAATCGACCCAGTATGCACCCGAGTAAGACTGGACCTGTTCAGATCAATTGTTCACTTAACTAGAGCCATTTGCATCAACTAGTGCTATAACATCCTGGAATACCAATTAAAGGGAAAAAAAGGCAAAGACAAAATATAAGAAAATTCTAGAATGTGGGAGGTCTAAAAACATTATAAATCCCATACCCACATATGCCCATCAACAACACACAATAGATTCATTTTATGGGGAAAAACCCGTATTCCTCCCCCACACCACACTGACATGCTTCCATGGCCATCTTCCTCAAACTTTTGAAGTGAGACTGAGTGCCAAATGGCCCAAATCCACCAGCTTACACTTGTTTTGTCATGCTAATGAAGTAATGATCCAAAAAATAGAGAGAACATCCCCAACCATTAGATGACAGGGAAGCTCTAATATAAATGCATCACAAGCTAAAAGGAAACAACTGCCACCATCTACATAATTCCTGAGTCCTGACATTGTAGTTATTCTGTGGCCATTCCATCACGAGTCCATTGAAGGTGCAAGTTGGCTCAGCTGGTAACAATCCTGCCTTCAAGCTCCCCTCTCCGTCCCCACAAACCAAGATTTTGTAGCAAAAAATAAGGAAAAACTAGTGATTCTTTACAATTCCCAAGCACTTCTTTGACCCTTACGAATCTAACCTTTTGATGTAACCGCTCTCTACAAATATAGGTACTCCCTCGCCTAGAACCACTGATGTAAGGATTTCTGATATTCCCAGAGCATGCCTGGGTCTGGAGATCCAGTCCACATATGCACACCTAAGAGATTAGAAATTCAAAAACCCTTTTAAATTTTCATTATAATACCTGATCATGGTTCAAAGTATCGATACACCCCGATACGATGGAAGGGTGTATCGATACTCTGAACCCCACACGTATATCATGTTTTTTAGTTTTTCTTTTTTTTCTCAAAACCTTTTCAGAAGGGTTGGTTTAAGGCATGTCTACGCCCTGAAATAAAAGACCTGTATTTCACATATCGAAAGGCACCAATTTGATACGATATGCCTGATATGGGGTGTACTGTATCAAAACTTTGAACCTTGCACCTGATATTCCTAGCTCATAATCTCCTCCACTCTGAGTATTTTGACCTTGGTCAAAAAGTTGGTCTAGAGCCAATTAATTTTCTCTACCAATTGGATGTAATGAAATTAATTTCAAACATTATTTTGTGCTCCAACCATGTGTAGTAAGCTGCCAAATTCTTGTTACCAACTGTTTAGGTAATACTAGAATTTTCAGGGTTTTATAGATTATATATATAATGAATAAGCGATTTAAACAACCATAATGAGCCTTACAGACATCAAGTTTAACTTGCTATTTGACTAGATCTAGATTCTAGAGATGGTTCCTTGGAGAAGAACAGGGCTTAAAGTAATCAATACACCCAATTCGCACAAACAGGTGTATCAGGTGTTTGATATTTAACAACTTTTTCTTTTTAATTTTTTCCAAAATTGCTTCAGAGGGTCGGGTTTTAAGCATGCCTACCCCCTGAAAGTGGTCAAAGTTTGAAACACCCCTTATTTGAGAGCTCCTGATACCGGACATATCGTATCAAAATTTTGAACCTTGGATAAGAGGAAGGACAGAAGGGGGTTGTAGTAAAATTAGGAGGCATTGTTGATTGATTAGCTACAGAACCTGGTGAGGTAGGAAAAATGGAACCCAGACAAACATTATAATCAAGATTCAAGACTAGCTGAATTAAAGACCCTACTATCTAAAGCACAATTGAAATATATAAAATTCTTACAACAAGGAAAAGAACAGAGATAATTTTACAACCCTATACAGCTGATAAAAATATTATACTATATCTCTAAGTTTAACCTCAGGAAAGAAAAGAATCAATTATGTTGCCCACAAAAAGTAAACTTGTAGTATGAAGAAATATAGAAAGGAACAATAGAAGGAAAAGCCATTTACAGGTGATGTAAAGTAGTTAATCTTGATAAATTAAAATCCCAACTAATTTCTCATCAGAAGAACCTAAAGGCAGGTCTTTGTGATATGACAGCAAATCACCTTTACAAAACTGCTTTATCATGTCTCTAGATACAGCAGGAAGTATATCTAAACAGCAAAAACTTGAATTAGAGAAGCATGAAAACAAAGCATAAAAGAAACCACTTTTCAAGTTTTCACCTTTACTTGATTGTAACAAACTTATTGGTACCATGTCTAGCCCAATGATCCTTCAAGTCAACTGGATGAGAAAGGTCATAACCTTCACTTGCAAGTCTCTGCAGAAGCTTTGCATATGCACCATTACTCATTTTCCTCCCCGCCATGCGTGCTCCAGGCCTTGTGGTACTCATTGGGAGAGGGTATTCAGATATGCTTGTGGTGCAACAGGAGGATTGCCATCCACCGGCACCCCATCTGTAGCACTGTCGAGCTACACCAGTGCAGGAGCAAATTGGAGCAGGCATCTGTGAAAAATCTATCGTGGTTCCATCTATGACAATATCCAAAATTTTCTTCTCATGCTTTACAGTGGATATAGAATTATTCTTCTTTTTTGTAGAGACAGAGGGCTTCTTTTTGGGTTGCTTTGGCCTTAAGACCTTGGAAGCAACACGATTAGACTTCTTTGCAGAAGGCTGCTGTTTTCTGATCTTTGATGATTTAGTCCCAAACTCACTACTTTGTGTTTGTCCATCTGTTGGTACACCCATACCAGTAGGAACAACAGGGATGCCTCCGTCTGTGTTCAGTGGAATTGCCTGAAGTGGAGACGGACTGGCTTTATTGACAGGCAAGAAGTTTCTAGGGTGAACCCAACAGTGCCCAGCATACTCCATAGCAGATGCTCCTGCATCAGCATGAGGAATCATGGAATTTCTGTTGCCATATGCCCCCATCTTTAAAAAGGCAGTTTGATGTCCAGAGGTTCCACCAGGGACTTGGACTCCAGAGACGGGCTTCAATACTGCATCTACACCCACGGACTGCTCCGAGAAATTCCAATTCCGAATACCCAGTCCACCTTTCTCATCCATGTAAGCCAGTGACAAAACAATCCTCAAATGATTTCTTGTGCAGGGAAACAGACTACTATATCCGCATACTAGAAAGGAAACTGTAATGTGACATTAATGTAGAACAAACCAGCATCAGAAATTCCAGAGAAACGTGGAGAAACACCAACTACAAACAATGGCACAAACCATATTATAAAACAATTAGCCTAGACAAAATAGCCAAATGTAACTTCAAATTGTCTCTAAAATCAGTCATATAACAAGAAAATAATTAGTCAAATCGCTTCAGAGAGTCCAAAAAAAGGAACCATGATCAACAGATGAACTCAATACCAAAACTGTATGCCTGAAACTGACACCCTCGGCGCAAAATACAGGGCCCCTTGTCGGAACGTTTAAGAACAGCAGGTATAACAGTTGATCCATGGATTCAGGAAGAAAATGATTCTAACTTTACAGAATGTACTTTTATAGAAACAAAAGATCACTTCAGAACAGTTCAGCGCAATATTTAGCATCGATGAAGTCTTTCATCAGACATCTTAAATGAAAATAAAAAACAAAACTTGATCTATTGACTCCTGAATGCACAATAAAATGTAAACCCTACACAGTGCAATAAAGCTAATGGATTAAAACCAAAGAAAACCAATTTCATCATATAAAAACACATAAGCTGAGAAGGAAACCAAGACCCATGCCAGTAACCACTCGAGACCCTCAAAGTCAGAGAAGAAACTGTTGATACATCGTCTGGGTCATCAATCAAACCAAGCCGAACCTAAGAACTTGCAAGGGGAAACACATATTCCCGTGAAAGAAGAACCAGAACTACACCAAAGTAAGTACACCCATCAAAGACGAGCATCAAAACAAACATGCAGTAAAGATTCTCTATCCACAGAAAAAAGTAAAAGAAGGATTCGAAGGGCTAGAAAGATGGAGAAAGAAACTTACTAGATAAACGATCACCAAGAAAGACTTCTAATTATCCTCGTTTATTTTTGACGGAAGAAACTCTTTTCCCGGTAAACATTTCAGTCTTTCCTCTTTTCCATCTTGTTGGGTGTAGTAGTAGTAGTTCAGAGAGAGAGAGGGGGGGGGGGGGCGAAGGAAAAAACTAAAAAGTAACTTTGTTCTGTTTCTATTGGTTTTGCAAGCACAGAGATGCCTCTACTGCCATGAAATACTCGCTCTGCGTACCTTTCTTGGGCTGCTCTTCAAGTTGAAAAATACAGTCATAAAATTAAATATTTTTACGGTTAAACGATTTTTAACAAGTGCAAATGGCTAACTTACGCCATGTTGCGCTTCAGGTTTTTGACCATGAAATATCAATATTTAACGGGTGGTGACCGGTGAGAGCGATTGAAAGGTAAAACTTTTTGGTGGACAGTGGACAGTGGACAGTCCGGAAGTGGGGACCACTTGGACTAATTATAATAAATGGTGGGTCCCACTAAACGGCCCATTTTTTTTTTAACTTTAAAGGTCAAAAAAGCAACCATTTCGGATGATCGCAGCCGTCGAATCCATGTCTCATTGAACTTTGGAGAAATGACCTGACGGAGGGTTGGTATCGATCTGTATTTTGTATCTGACCAAGTGCAATTGAAAAGAGACCACACACTGTAGAAATGGAATCACATGTATCGGACGGCTACGGATTCGGCTTATAGGCAGAGCTTATCAGCTTAACGTCTGTGGAGTGTGGAACAGTGGAACCTCCTTTTTGACTGATTAAAGTGATCTGGATCGCTGGATTTGAAGTATATATGCTGTGGTACGGTACGGATGAACAAAAGTGAATGAATGTAGTGTAGGGGTTTCGAGTTTCGAGTTTCGAGTTTCGAGGCGAGGAAAGATTCGTTCAGGTGTAGGATAAGGGTCTGGTGGCGTCTGCGTAGAATAGAAACATGCCGTCTCCCAGCACCTACCTATATAGATTACCGGTAATAAGTTGGTAATCGACTTATCTGAAAACGGGGCGGGGCAGGGTGGTCGGGTTTTGCCTGCCCCGTCTTCGATCCCGAAGTCAAATGCCCCGCCCCGAACTCCGGCGGGTTATACATCCTAGCCCCATCCAAAATTTGCCCCCCACTTCATTCCCATTTGTATTTTTTTACAAATTTATAATATATAATGTTATATAATATAATTGGGGCGAGTTTAAGACCAGGGTCGGGGTGGGGTGAACAAATACCATCCCCGCCCTATACTTAATTCCTAGAGTTTTGGGTTTTCTCGAATTTACCCTAGACAGATCAGTGGTCAAAATGCCCTGATTGAGGCATTGCCCCATGGAGACAGGCCAAATTTCCATATATATATACTATTTTTTATTTTATTTACAAAAAATTAAGAATTATAAAATCTATCTATTATTATATAAAAAATAAAAAATAAAAAATATACATATAAAAGATGTTTTTATTTTATATATAAAAAAATAAGAATTATAAAAATTATTTACTATTATATATAAAAAATAAAAATATTATATATAAAATTAAAATTATTTATTATATATATTTATATGTATATATATGTATGTATGTATGTATATAATAAAAAATATTTATTTATTATACTAATCTTGCGAGCCTCACGAGACAAGCTTCACTGGGCTCGAACTTAGTTTAATTAACAAATAAGCCTATATATCAGGTTCAAGCTTGATTTAAACCGAACCAAACCAAGATTTTTACGAGCCAAACTCGAATAATTCGTGAGAAGCTCGACTCGTAGCCACCTAGTATTATTGGCATCGGGTGCTGCTGGGGCAGAGATGCAAAAGTGTTAAGTCGTCTGAACTGTCTGATAAGGTTGGACCGGATACCAACTCGGCATTACTGATCATCCGCCAGGTTTAATAGGGGGGCATGGGCCGGTCCTGGCCCACATAGGTCACTGAATCATATATTAACGCACACACATTAATGTAAGCCTGAAGGTTTTAGAGCTGAACCCATCCTGCTGTACATGTGGGCTTGAAGTGGGCCTGGGCTAGGTGAAGGGCTTGGATGAAAAAACACTTTGTCGCACCTAGAAGCTAGAAATTTCTGAACCAAACGTGCTGTGCAATGTGGGCTGGGTTGGATCTGATCATCTCTACTAGTTAGGGTCATCTCATCTGCCTGGTGCCTGGCGCTAGCAATATCAGTGTGCTTGGTAGTTAAAGTGGTATAGCCAATAACTTTCTCTAGTTTTCATGTGTAAGATTTGAGATCCGATTGACTCGGTTACAGAAGTCTGGTTTGTGGGTCAACCCATTGGTTCTCTAGACTATACAAGAGAAATGCCAAGAGTGTAGTTTTTGTTTTCCTCGTACTGCTTACAAATGCATCTTAGGGGCTGTTTGATAATGATTGAAGTGACTCAATTAAATGACTTATTGCTTTGTAATCAATCCAAGGTGTCATTGATTAAGGAGCTTAGAAGTAGGACCCCGGACCTTTGATCATTGGGGGCATACCCTCTTGCCTCACTTCTCAGGCCTTTTAAAACAACGAAAAAAATAACTTATTTAAGAAGTCAAATTTCATTTGACCCCCTACTATTTTATTTGAATGGAGTCAATTGTAAAAAAAAAATCTTTATATAGATATAAAATATTTTTGAATCTCAGCGGGGCAATTGCCCATGGTGGTTTCTAAATAGGTCCACCACTGCTTAGAATTCTTTATTCAATGATTCATTCACTTAAGTACAAATTAAGCAATAAATCATTCAGTTCAGACACTTCAGTCTTGATCAGATGTCTCCTTGCACTACACACATCTGAAACATTGTGGTAGGATCCACAATCCGCCCAAACTTTTGGTGCACAAACCATCTAAGATTAGATAATGTTGTGGGTTTATGGTAAATGAAACACTTTTAAGTAGGGGTGAGAAAATGGGTAAGTTCTATCCGAAATTGAATGGAACCAGGCCAAATTAATTTGTTATAGGGCAGGATTTGGTTTCAAATGTTTGGAACTGACCCCCACCTAGGCTAGTTCCAGGTTCTAGGGGCTTGGCCTTGGTGGAACCTGCCTTGAAATAAACCTCAAAATACTTTTGGAGATGTGAAGATTGGACCTAAGCACTCATGATTAGAAAGGCTATAGTCTCACTTGACCACTGAATTACTTAAGTTATTTGATCATTTATTTTCATTTTAATATTTAAATGTGTATAATAAGTAATGTAAAAGGTAATATTTACAAAATGTAAATTCAAATTATAAGTTTTGAACCATATAATGATAATCTACATATTAACTTACTCAATTTAATCAATAAAGATAATATAGTATAAACTATATATTATATTTATTGACAATCATGTTTTTAAAGAACATGCTTCTTTTTTTTTTTTTTTGAAAGGGGGAGGGGGAAGAATAAACAAAGAATATGTTCCACTGGTAGACCCTAGAATCAACCCCAAATCCACTAAGGCTAGAACCAACCCTACACTGACCTTCACAATATAGGTTCTGGTTCCAAAAACCTGGAACCGGCCCCTATAGGGTAGGATCTATAGTGATAATCTACATATTAACTTATAAATTCAAATTATAAGTTTTGAACCATATAATGATAATCTACATATTAATTTACTCAATTTAATCAATAAAGATAATATAGTTTTAAACTATATATTATATTTATTGACAATCATGTTTTTAAAGAACATGCTTCTTTTTTTTGAAGAGGGGAGGGGGAAGAATAAAGAAAGAATATGTTCCACTAGTAGACCCTAGAATCAACCCCAAATCCACTAAGGCTAGAACCAACCCTACACTGACCTTCACAATATAGGTTCTGGTTCCAAAAACCTGGAACCGACCCCTATAGGGTAGGATCCATGTTTCTGCCATGGAACTGAATCAAACTAATCCATGCTCACCCCTACTTGTAAGTGGCACATGATGAGCAAAAGAAACATATTTAACATTATACATGCATATAATTTCTACTGAAGGCCGTGCTTAGCTGTAGTGCAAATCTTGACCAAGTGTAAAATTTGTATCTGATTCGGTTTTGCTTTTATTTATTTGTAATTATGACTTGTATCTTTATCTGATACAAAATTTGTATTTTTTTGTCTCTTTTGCATTTACTGGGTAGTGCAAGTTTTACATCCCAAAATTGATGCAAAATTTGCATCACTTTCCTCGTACCCCAATTTTTCTCATATAAAATGAACCACATCATCTTGTGTGTAATATTACACGTACCATGCCACATGCATGTATTTATGTAAATGACTATCCATCAATTTAACTAGTAGGTGAGTTGGGAGCCTCTCTTGTATGATTGACGCGATATCATAATTAGTGAATAGTTGATTCCAAGTCAAAACATAGGGGTGCAACTTAGAGCCTCAATTAATTCATCCTAAAATTCTACATGAGTTAGGTTTAGATTATCAATCCTTGGGTTAGGTTAGGACTAAGCATTTGGGCTTTTTATTTTTTGGGCTGGGCCCGGTTCTAGTCCTTAAGTAACACGAATACAGCCCAATTATATACATTTATACGTATATGTGTAAATTTTTGCATATATATTTACATATATACATACTATATGTGTATATATCTATACTACCTATAAAAGAGCGAATGTCTCTTCTTTTTGGAATTTTTCATTAGATGTTTTCTATCTCCCTTGTTTAAGCATACAATGGGCATAAAGGGGGCATATATGTCCTTTATTTTCATTTTTGAAACTGTCTACTTATAACCATTCAAAAGCTGTCTATGAATTATAAATAGTTTTGTCTTAGAAATACTGTCACATGCAAATGCACATGCATATTTACTAGTTTACATAAATGTATACATACATGTATAATTTTAGAGTGGATTCATTGACCAACTGAACCTGAACTCGGACTCGATCCTTAAACCCAAATTTCAGAATTGGACCTGACTTGACTATCAACCCGGCCCAACCCGCCTGACTTGCACCCCCTATATGGATACTTTACTACATCAAGTTGATCAAATTTGCAAAATTTTACCTTCACTTTAGTACATATACTATTCTATAGGCTGAAGTTTATCCTCTGACTTGAGAGGTTTTTCAAGATATCATGTTAGCCACTTTGAATTACGAACCAATCATCTCACACAAGGCCACGCTAATGCTATTAATTCCAGGAGATTTTGGGATTTCATTGGAATCCCATGAAAGATTTCGTTTTTCTTTCAAAATTCCAATTATGATTGGTGA